GTCACCAAAAGCCTCTTTAGCAGAGAAGCCTCTACTGTGCTCATGCCAGGTCATTTCAGCATTGCTCAGAGTCAGATGATACACAACAAGACATTCCTGGTTTTTGCAAACTCTTCTTATTGTAGAGTTCCCGTGAAGGTTCTTTGGAGATGTTTAAGTGGAAGGAGGGAGAACTTTTAAAAACAAAACAAAGTAGATAGTATGTCTTAAAGTCAGCATGCCTGACATGTTTTCAGAGCTCACAAAACATATGACTAGGGAAAATGAAATTTATAGCTAGTATGGGAACACATCTGTCTTTAGGCAAAGCGTGATAGGAAAATTAGTAGAAAAAGATGGTTATGTTATGTTTTGATAAGCTAATCAAGTTCACTGAGGTTGGAATAGGGTAAAAGAACTATTCACATTGAATTGTCATTTAAATTTAAATGAGATACCTGCACTTAAGGGCGGTTCCAGATAGCTCTATATCACAGGTTTTAAACAGGGGCAAAAAATCCTGGGACTTCAGAAGAGATCCACATATAGACCTGTTGGTGACAAGATTTCTGCCTCCATTGTCCAAACTTGATGCTTTGCTGCGGGATTTAGAGGCTCCCATGATGGCCACCGTGGGACTTGTGCCAGAAACTTTGGCAATTTTTAAACCCTCATAATGTGGATATCCGGAGAATCACTGCAGCAAATCATTGTAAAAGTTCCATCCTTTGTCCTGGCCAGAGAAACTGTGCCCTCCAAATGTTTCATGAAGTATCTGCCACAAACAAAGTTTATGGTGTAGGACCACTTCTCCCCAAGTCAATCAAACAAGAATACACACTTTCAAGCCAGAAAAAGAACTTTTTCCTTACTGACATTTTTGTAGAGCCTGGCTGCCTGGCCATCTGTTCAGAAACATTTGATTGTGTACTTGTGGCATCAAACATCAGGGTGCTGTTCCTGGGTTATACATGTCTGTTCCTAATTGCTCTTCTTGTGGAAAATATACCACATTGATTAGGGGGGCACGACTTTGTCCTGGCCAGAGAAAATGTGCCCTCCACATGTTTCATTAATTTTCTGGCATAAAAACAAAGTGTTTGCCTTCTACTCAAGTGTAATCTTCATTTTACAAATTGACCAACCAGGAACAAATATCTAAAACCCAGGAACAAACCTAGATTTAAAAATCCTGTGATTTTCGATTGTAGGGACATACAGACATTGGAATATTTGGCTATTAGGCTCAAAACTGTGATATTTCCACTCCTGGAAATCTCACATTTTTTGCCTTTTGTAGTGATTGCTTCCATGTTTACAGGGAACAGCGTCTGGTCACCCTCCTGTTTGCTATGGAAACTCCTGGGATAAAGGTACTGTCAGCTTCAGAATTCTCCATTTTATATGATGCTCCTCTCTATGGAACACCGTTGAGCAACGAATAAGACTATCTACACAACTTTGGAAACGTAGCACCTAGGGCAGTTTGGTCCATGAAGGAAATGGAAACCACTTCTCCATCATTGCCATTTTCTTCCAAAGTTGTATCTATAAAGGCACAACCAACATGTTATCCTTCTTTCATCTCAGATAAAGCCAGGGGACCATCAAAAATGGAGTGTGATTCTCTGCATCTTTAAAAAGATAAGAGAAGGCTGAGAGGAGACATGGTGGCCATGTATAAATATGTGAGGGGAAGTCATAGGGAGGAGGGAGCTAGCTTGTTTTCTGCTGTCCTGGAGACTAGGACACAGAACAATGGCCTCAAACTACAGGAAAGGAGATTCCACTTGAATATTAGAAGAACTTCCTGACTGGGAGAGCTAATCAACAACTCTGCCCCAGAGTGTGGTGGAGGCTCCTTCTTTGGAGGCTTTTAAACAAAGGCTGGATGACCATCTGTTGTGGGTGCTTTGAATGCGATTTTCCTGCTTCTTGGCAGGGGTTGGACTGGATGGCCCATGAGGTCTCTTCCAACTCTATGATTCTATATTTCCATAACATAAGTCAAAGCTAGGCATGATGTTATCATTGGCTTGCACTTAATGTATTTATTTAAAATGCAAATAGAAACCACTGAGCTGATGCTGCTGATCACACACATGACAGATGTGGGCTGTATCTACACTGCAGATTTATAGCAGTTTGACACATATTAATTCTGCAGTGTTAATGCACTTTAAGAATACTTACATTATCAATTTCTCTATTTCAGTGAGTTAATTTCAAAGGTTCCAAAAGATTCCTTTGCAGACAGATCCAGACTAATGTGTCTATGTCTTTGGCCATCCAGATCTTTTGAACTTCAACTCCCAGAATTCCTGACAATGGGCCAAACTGGGAGTTGAAGTCCCAAACACCCTGAGAACAAAAACTGGGAATACTTGATTTAGTCCTTTCAATATAAAAGTTGTACGTACCATACTTACTTGTAAAGTCATTGCTTCAAGGGGTTTTGACAGTGGAATAAAGTTATGTTTCAAACAAAAAACCACAAGTAGAGATTAATTCAATGTTTTTCAAAACAAGATGTAACTTTTACTTGTCACATTGTTGATTTTTAAGGGTTTTTTTTGGGGGGGGGCACTCTGAAGTCTTATGCACTATTCTGTTATCAGTTCTAAGGGCTGGTGGAGCCCCTGGTGGCACAGTGGGTTAAACCCATGTGCTGGCAGGACTGAAGACCGACAGGTCGCAGGTTGGAATCCGGGGAGAGGCGGATGAGCTCCCTCTATCAGCTCCAGCTCCTCATGCGGGGACATGAGAGAAGCCTCCCACAAGAATGATAGAACATCAAATCATCCAGGTGTCCCCTAGGCAACGTCCTTGCAGACGGCCAATTCTCTCACACCAGAAGCGACTTGCAGTGTCTCAGGTCGCTCCTGACATGACCAAAAAAAAAGTTCTAAGGGCTTTCCAGAGAAATATATAAAGTAAACATACGAAACAAAGTGTAATATGTTACAATGGGCAATGCTGAGGCCTTTGTGATGGGTTACATAATCAATTAGTAAAGGTAAAGGTTTCACCTGGCATTAAGACTAGTCATGTCCGACTCTGGGGGTTGGTGCTCATCTCCATTTCTAAGCTGAAGAGCCGGCGTTGTTCGTAGACGTCTCCAAAGCCATGTGGCCAGCATGACTGCATGGAGCGCTGTTACCTTCCCACAGAAGCAGTACCTATTGATCTACCCACATTTGCATGTTTCGAACTGCTTTGTTGGGAGAACCTGAGCCTAACAGCAGGAGCTCACCCTGCTCCACAGATTTGAACTGCCAACTTTTCGGTCAGCATGTTCAACGGCTTAGCAGTTTAACCCGCTGCACTACTAGTAATTGACATAATCAATTATTATAAAGAGAAACAATTTTGCTCCATTGTTTTTTGTATCAGTGTTTCATATGCCAAATTCAAGCCTACCCTTTCCTGAATCTTCAGGCTAAGCAAAAAAAACAATGTACACATGTATGTCGATCCAGGCCCCTTAAATATTTGTGCCACCAGTCAATAGACAAAAAAGATGAAGGATTGAAGGAGGGAGGTAGATGTAAAGAAACGCATAATGTTAAAATACTGGGAGAAGCATTATTTATCTGGTTTATTCTGCTCTAAAAGGACATAATAGTTCAAGGAGCAAAATTATTCTGATCTTCCCAAACTGTGGACTGCAAGAATGAGTCTTCCATCCCTGCCTTGCCTTTCAAACAGAGCACCAAATGGCACCTATGGTATACTATCAGATTATATTATCAACCCAGAGAGAGGAAGATAAAAGCTTTGCCGCGAAGTTGAATGTATGCATATTTTCAGTACTCAGATACAAGGAATGCTTTCAAAATGGAACTCTGAGATGGAAGCTTAAAGATTAGCATGATAAGCCTCTATGGTAAATGGGCTCTTAAGGAAAATGAAGGAATTTGAGTCTGCTTATTCTTAATGAACTCTAGCAATACAGGACTTCCATATTTTACAGTAAGAACAGCCTCTAGTTTCTTTTTTTCAGTTGTAAGGTGAATCTACACTGAAGAATTAAAGTAGTTTGACGCCATTTAAACTGTTATTATCATTGAAGTCCTAGAATCATAGAATCAAAGAGTTGGAAGAGACCTCATGGGCCATCTAGTCCAACCCCCTGCCAAGAAGCAGGAATATTGCATTCAAATCACCCCTGACAGATGGCCATCCAGCCTCTGTTTAAAAGCTTCCAAAGAAGGAACCTCCACCACACTCTGGGGCAGGGAGTTCCACTGCTGAACGGCTCTCAGAGTCAGGAAGTTCTTCCTCTTCCTCTGGCATGGTTGGATATTGTATCAAAAATGTTACTCTATCCTCATAGTTTCATACCTTCACCTCTGATGCAGGATCTTGGCCATGGTTTTTTGCACAGTAATGATGAGGTTTTGTACATTATGTGTACTGTGGCACATAATTATCTCCTGAAACAGTTTGTGATATACAACTACTGGGTGAAAACGATATGATGCTACTGCATGGAGACAGCTGTCGGAATTATTCATTCTTGCAGACATGGATAAAATACTCAAAGATGTACATGACTTGTGTATTCATAAATGCTTTCATGTCCTATGTTGGTGTTAATTTGCAATATTTCATTTCTATGTGTGTGTGACTTATGGTGACCCTATACATTTCATAGGGTTTTCTTAGGCAATGAATCCTCAGCTGGTTTACCAGTTCCTTCTTCTGAAATAGAGGCTACAGCACCTGGCACTTTCTGGTGGTCTTCCATCCCAGTACTAACTCTGAGTAGCTTCTAAGATCAGCTAGGATCTGGTGCATTTAAGGCATTTAAGCCCTATATTTATATATCAGGCATGACAAATTTTATGACATTTATTTCATTTTTTTCTTCTACCAGAGGTTCAGCAGTTCTGCACATAACTCTAGATGGAATATCTTTATGTCATCGATAAAAATGTGTGTTAATCCTCTGGCAATGTGACAGAAGGAGCTTCAGAATGATCTTTCTCACCAGTTTGTTCTTCTTATGCCCATTTCAGGACGATGTGGCTCAGCCACTGAACCTCTCGGCAAAACCCAAGACGAATGACAGCAAGTCACCCACATCTCCCACCTCTCCCCATATGCCATCACTGAGAATAAACAGCGGGAGCAGCTCTCTGAAATCTTCTGTGCCAGCAACGTTAGCTAGTCCTTCAGCAAGGGTCAACACAATAGGTAAGTGGTATTGATTAAGCCTTTCCTCTAACAAGGAATCCTCTGCCGACCTGAAAGGTTTGGGTAGGTCATGTACCCTTTTGAAAAGTGTGCTGCCAGACTAAGAGTTGATAGAGTGAAAATACACTGGGACCATCCTCAATTAGGTCCTGAACTCCCAAGCTCTTAGGGCTAACATAACGATTTTCAAGTAATCCTTGCTCCAAATCCACCTTCAAATCACTGCAAACACGGGAGTTTAATTCCCTGATCCCAGAGCCTGTAGACACCCCCAATGCTCCTTAAAACACAATTTTAAAAGGCTGAAATTATACTAGAATGGCAACTGGAAGTTATAAGATCACATACAATGATGATGATGACGATGATATACTTTATTTATATTCCGCCCTTCTCCCCCTAAGAGAGCATATTACAGTATTTACATTCATAAGCAAACATTCAATGCCTTTTAACAATATTATACAATGAGATACACAAACACAAACAAGGGCAGAGGCCTCTCCTTTCATTTCCAGCTTCTGGAGGTGGTGCTCATCTCTTGCTCTCTCCATTTTCAAGCCGAGGAGCCTCCGTTGTCATCTCCCAGTAGAGTGGCCGGCAAAATTGCTTGGAACATCTCTTTGCTTTTTCCTGCAGTACCTATTTATCTACTCACATTTTATGTTTTCAAATTTCTAAGTTGGCAGGAGCTGGAGCTGACAGACAGGAGCTCACCCTGTCTTTTGGATTCAAAGTGCCGACCTTCATTTCAGCAGTTCAGCAACACAAAGGTTTAACCCATTGTGGATTCAAACTGCCAACCTTTGTGTTAAACCAACACAAAGGTTTAACACAAAGGTTTAACCCGTGGCTCCAATGCATTCTTGATTTGTCGAAGGCTTTGATGGCCAGAATCACTGGGTTGTTGTAGGTTTTTTCGGGCTATATGGCCATGGTCTAGAGGCATTCTCTCCTGACGTTTCGCCTGGATCTATGGCAAGCATCCTCAGAGGTTGTGAGTTTCAACCTCTGAAGATGTTTGCCATAGATGCAGGCGAAACGTCAGGAGAGAATGCCTCTAGACCATGGCCATATAGCCTGAAAAAACCTACAACAACCCATTCTTGACTTTCCTTTTTAAAAGAATGAACCAAAACTACTGCCTCTATAAGTCAGATAAAATAGTACATGGCATCAGTGTTTGTTGTGTGCTGAGTCCACTCTGAAACTCCTACACCAGTTTTTCTCAAAACTTTGGTTGTCCAGATGTTCTGGCCTTCAACTCCCAGAATCCTGAGCCAGCTTGGCCAACAGTCAGGAATACTGGGAGTGGAAGTCCAAAACATCTGGGAAACACTGTCCTACACATTTGAGAGGATGGAGTAAGTGGAAAATACCAGTGGCAGCTCATAGAGTTAGCAAAGCGGCATTTCGTCCTAAAATTGCAGAGTGGTTGTATGCTTTCTCTTCAGTCCATAAATCTTCCACAGATGCAACAGAAAGGAAAGCGTGCAGAAGTCCTCCTGCCTGACATACAAAGGCCTCTCTGAGCTGATTTGAAGAGCCACACCATGGCTGCACACTCTTCTTAATTCCCTAGATAAAATCTTTCTCTCTCCCAGTCTCTGGCCTCTTTCCTGCCTTTGGAATCCTTGCCATTTCCCTTCCCTCCTTTTCAGCGAAATGTAGATTTTGAAAGGCCGTACCTGTAATGAGTGATAATGTAATTGGATAAAAGCTGTGAGGATGACTGGAGTTGTAAAGGTCACTCTTGTAAGGAGAATTAATGTGTTATACCATTAATAAACCATGGGAAACTGTGGACCAAAAGATAACATACTTAAGTTATTGTTAATGACATAGACTTCACTGCCGTATATCTTTGTGGGACAGATATAGAAAGGGACTTTTTGAGGTTACAGAATGGTATCGCTGTGCGTGCTGTCTCGGATAACAGAGGCTGGTCCCTCCTCCTCCCCTCCGCTGCCATTTTCTTTAAGGCAAAGGAAACCTTTTGCTGGCAGTTACTGGTTGAGTTACAGTCAGTAGATGGTAGGAATGAACATCTTGCTACTTACTATTAACCTAGATCGGCTACTTATACTGTATCCCACAATAATGTGGAGATATGACCTCTCCTGCCCCGCAAAATGTGGCCAAAAAGTAAACTATTTTGCATTTGGTAATCAAAATGTCTGGATTTAAATTTGGAAGTAATCAGTAAAATACAAGTGGGAAAACAGTGCAACTCTCCATAGTAGGGAAGAAGACTGTGCTCATTTAGATCTGATAACTAGGGGTACGTCCAAATTGTACATTAAACACAGTTTGATACCACTTTAATTAGGAGCCCCCGGTGGCGCAGTGGGTTAAACCCCTGTACCGGCAGGACTAAAGACCGACAGGTCGCAGGTTCAAATCCGGTGAGAGCGTGGATGAGCTCCCTCTATGAGCTCCAGCTCCCCACGTGGAGTCACGAGAGAAGCCTCCCACAAGGATGGTAAAACATCAAAAACATCTGGGCGTCCCCTGGGCAACGTCCTTGCAGACAGACAATTCTCTCACACCAGAAGCGACTTGCAGTTTCTTAAGTCGCTCGTGACACGACAAAAAAAACAAACAAACCAAACCACTTTAATTGCCATTGCTCAGTGCTATGGACTTGTGGGTCTTATTGCTTGGTGAGGCAACAGCGCCCTTTAGCAAAGAAGGCTAAAGACCCTGTAAAACTACAACTCCCACAATTCCATAGGATTAAGCCATGGCAGTTAAAGTAATGTCAAGCTGCATTAATTCTACAATGTGGATGCACCTCTGGCCTCAAATCCTACAGCCAATCACCATGCACATTTATTACACTATGATACCACTTTCTGTCCTATGGAATGCTAGGTTTTGTAGTTTGGAGAGGCACTTTCATGTTCTGGCTGATAATTTTAAATTGCCTGTCATAGATGTGGGTGAAATGTCAGGAGAGAATGCTTCTGGAACATAGCCATCCTGCCCAGAAAACTCACAGCAACTGTCCTATGGAATACTAGGTTTTGTAATTTGGGGAGGCACTTTCATGTTCTGGCTGATCATTTTAAATTCTCCTCCCTAAACATTATAGTTCTGTCCTATGGAATCCCAGGATTCCATAGGACAGAACCATAGCACTATAATCATGCAGTGAAAATTGTCCCTGGTTGCGGAGCAAAACCAATTGCATGATACTACATTAATTGTACCATCCAACCTTCATTCTGAATGTCAATGTGCAAAGAAATCAAAGAAACAGCAGGCAACTGGATGCACAGCCAAATGCATATGTGTATCCATGTGCAATCTCCATTCATGTGCAATGCACAGCCCACATCACACTTCCATACACTATATATTTGTGTGTGATAGTCATCTGTAATCATATATTTAACTCAATTTCTGTAGGTTTTTGCTGAGAGTAGAATTTCATATGTGACAAAAATATCCAACCTCTTCTGTAGGTAAATTTACACACATGTAACATGCAAAAATGCAAAAATGCTGCCTTGGAGTGTGATGAACTCTCCTTCTTTGGAAGTTTCTAAGCAAAAGCTGGATGGAATTAAACCCTTGTGTTGGTGGTTCGAATCTGGGAGCGGAGTGAGCTCCCAGATGTCAGCTCCAACTCCTCATGTGAGGACATGAGAGAAGCCTCCCACAGGATGGTAACACATCCGGGCATCCTCTGGGTAATGTCCTTGCAGATGGCCAATTCTCTCACACCAGAATCAACTTGCAGTTTCTCAAATCGCTCCTGACATGAAAACAATCTATCAAGGTTATTTTAATTGTGTATTCCTGCATGGATGGCCCTTGTTGTCTCTTCCAACTGACCCTATGATTCTAATAGTATTCAGGTATTAATTGTTACTGGGGAATTCTGAAATGTTATAGTTATAGATCTTGCCATCATAAATGTAGAGGATATGGCTAAGTATTTGCAACAGATCAGCAAGATATTAGGCATATGTGCTTTGAAAAAGGCTTTTAGACTGGGTTTTTCTTTTACTGGTGGATGCTTAGCTCCTGTTTAATTTATTATGCTTTTACACATTTTATACATTTGTACTATTTCATTATTATCCACCTTGAATCCCGTGGAATGATGGAATTAATATAATGTATGAAATCTACCATCTCACATTGTTGCAAGAAACCTCCCCTTCGTGATTTTCAGCCACCAGTCAGAACAGATTGGCAGTTACTTCAGTGTAATCTTATTTATTAATGAGATTTATGCTCCCTTCTTTAGGTTGTAATGTTTTATGGTGGCTAATTTAAGGTTAGAGTGATAAAACGACAAAAAAGGGGGAAAATAATATAAGAAAATTGAAAATATTTTTAAAATGTGATGATTACAATTGTGACTGTCTTTGAAATAATACTATTTTTAGTTGATTTAGTTTTTGAGTTGTACTAGGTCCCATTACAGGAGAAAAATGGCATGTAAATAAATTAGTTTAATGAATGAATGCATGAAAGCAACAAGAAAGCCTAAGGGAGCCCGGCTGCCACAGAGGGTTAAATCACTGAGCTGCTGAACTTGCTGACCGAAAGGTCGCCGGTTCAAATCTGGGGAGTGGGGTGAGCTCCTGCTGATAGCCCAAGCTTTTGCTGACCTAGCAGTTCAAAAACATGCAAATGTTAGTAGATCAATAGGTACTGCTCCAGAAAGAAGGTAATGGCGCTCTATGCAGTCATGCCAGCCACATGACCTTGGAGGTGTCTATGAACAATGCCGGCTCTTTAGCTTAAAAATGGAGATGAGGACCACCCCCCAGAGTTGGACACAACTAGACTCAATGTCAGGGGAAAACCTTTACTATAGAAAAAAATTGGTGCCCTAAGCAATCAGCATTTTGCACTCCTGGATTTTTATAATAATATAATAATAAAACTTCATTTATAACCTGCCCTCTCTCCCCAAAAAGACTCAGGATGGTTTACAAAAATAACAAAATGGCAAACATTCAATGCCAAGCAAATAACAACAA